AATGCCAGAAAAGCTATAGACTTGATCTATTGGAATTATTAGAAATCCATAGACATAATAATAATAATAACTTTACTTTGCTTAATGACCAAATTCAGAATTTATACAAACCTATATTCACATACCTTCAATCTAAATAATTTACATTCTAATATTCTTTTTCTTTATGTTTTAAATTTTTTAATTTTTTTCACAGAGCGATTATTTCCCTCATCTTTTTCTCTTTTATTTTTATCTCTCTTATCCAGTTTAACATTTGCTCTGGCTTGATTTACTCAGTCTCGCCTCATCTCATCCCACCAACACATCTTTAATACGATCTTAAAGATTTATTCGAATTTCTAATTTTTTAACGTAAGTTTTTTCATTTTTATACTTCATTTTTTGATTTGGTCCTTCTAATAATTAAATTTTTATAAGGTTTTCATTTTTCCCCCTTTTTATTATTTTTAGATTCTACATTTTTAACGTCGCCATTTGTATTTTCAACTTCATCTTCATTTTGTTTATCCATCAGATAGCAAAATGCTTTACTTTCACCTGATTTCCAGTCTGCACCTTTTATAGCTTCATTGACTGTAAGTATTTTTCAGTTTTTTGAGATTTTTTCATTTTTCCTCATTTTCCTCGTGGTCAACTCTATTTAAAATTTAAATTTTCTCCATAAAAAGTTTTCCTTTTTGATTGTTTTGCCTCTAATTTTAGATTATTTTTGTTTGATTTAAGATTAGTTTATAGTTTTTTCGCGTTTTTTAAATAAATTCTTTGAACGTCTTATATTTTAACTTAACTTCTAACTTTTTTTCAACAAAATTTATTATTTATAAAATATATTTTTTATCGAGTTAACTTCACTTTATTATATTTATCACTTTTTGATTGTTATCTTATTTTTCGTACTCTTTATAGTTGTCGCTGATGATGGGGTAACCCGAAACTAGTACGACTTTATATTAATAAACGCAAGTTAGAAGTTTTTATATGGTTTTTATCTGTTGTATATGTTTTGCATGTCCCAGAAACTATAACCATTATTTGTTCCGATACTAAGAATTATTTTAAGTTCTGAAATGTAGTCTGAATGATTGAGTGGTATGGTGTTAAGCCGATTAAAGTTGAATCTGAAGGCAGCTTCTTTGTGTGACGTTAGATTAAAAGAATTCTTCGGAATTATCGAATCTGTAGATGTTGGTTTTCTATATATATTAAAAGACAGATGGTCGTTATGATCTCTGGAGATACTTAAGTCGAGGAAGTTAATGCTCTTATTTAGTTCCTTTTCCATAGTGAATTCTAAGTTGTTGATGTTGAAGATGTTGTACAATGCCCTAAGTTTAGCAGCGTTACCCTCATAAACGATAAGTATATCGTCTACGTAGCGTCCATAGTATGAGATATCGGATGTGAAAAGTTTATATTTCTCTGAGAATAACTGCTTCTCGAAGTCATTGACGAACATTTTCGCGATGATGCCCGAAATTGGAGATCCCATGAGAAGACCATCAGACATTTGATAATGTCGATTGTCAAATATAAAGAAGTTTTGATTACAAACTATTTTCAGAAGGTTGCAGAAAGTTGTTATTTCATTATGATTAATATTAAGATATTGGTGGTCGTTATTTCGGTGATTTTTTATTATAGATATGGACTCATGAATTGGGATATTCGAATATAGCACTTTGATATGAGCACTTGTTAGCCGAAACAGGTTGTACTGAAAAAGATAAATAAAGAAATCGCATCGTTTCGTTTAGAAACGTTTTCTTACTCTTTCATTTAGTAAGCGATAAAATACAAAACACTATTAGCCTTGCGGAAACCATTTCAATAACAACAGACATGTGGACTTGTGATGGAAATAATTCAAGTTTTTTAAGTTTTACTAGTCACTGGATTTCAGAAATCTTCCAAGTTCATTATGCTGTACTTCAAATGAAACATTTTGAAGGTAGTCACACTGTGGAAGATATAGCCCAAACATTAACTGATGTTATAGCTAGTTGGAACTTGACAAAATTTGAAAATGAGTGCAATTGTGCACGACAATGGACCGAACATAGTTAAAGGAGTAAGAGAGTCCGAATGCCAGTCAGTACGATGTTTCATCCATACGCTGCACTTAGCAATAAATAATTTTTTGAAAACAACCCGAAATAAAGGGATGATAATTACATCCAGAAAAATAGTTACATACTTTAACCACACCGGCCATGAAAAATTACATGCAATTCAAGCAGAATTAAAAATTCCTGTACACAAACTTGTGCAGGATGTTTCCACTCGATGGCATTCAACCTGTTATTTATTAGATCGCTTGCTAGAACAAAGGCGAGCGATTTTATTATACAGGGTGTCTCACGTAAGTCTGATGTGATTCTACACACAAAACTAAGTTGACTTTGATAAGACATGTTGATACCTAGTGCTTCTAGTTTTTGAGTTATTTTAATTAGAACCTTTTTTTAGCAATTAAAATCTTCAAATCTGAATTTCTTGGCAACTGATCGAGCTAGAAAGTTAACATTTGTAACAGTTGCTGCTTGAATATCCTTAAATAGAGCACCATTGGCAACATCGGTTTATCTTATACAGGATGTTCAAAAATTTAACTACTGTTTTTTCGTATTCAATTGCAAGAAAGTCGAAAATTTTAAATAGAACACCCCATATTTGATTAGCTTATTAGATAGAGGTGAGATAGAGAATTCCGAGCAGGCGATGTTTCGATATGAACTGATACTGGAGATTGGAGATATTGGAAGTGTGGACATACGTAAACGTCGAGAAAAGTCGTATGTAGTTCGAGAAGAGAACAACGAACTAAATGTTTTATTAAGTTTGTAAAAGAATCCGCATGTGAGTGCACGACAGATCGCTAGAGCAACAGATATGAGTAAAAGCTCAGTAAACTGAATTATGAGGCTTCACAACTACCACCAAGAATTTCATGGAGATGATTTTACTAACAGAGTAGTTTTCTGTACGACAACTTTATATGAAATAAATGAAAACCCTCTTTTGGTATCATCAATTCTATTTAGTGATGAATAATAATGCATATTATGCAACCGAAAATCCTCTATGGCTAAAGCGCGTAAATAATCAAAATGTATGGTCGTTAAATGTTTGGGGCGGAATATTTAACCGTAAATTAGGCATACTGGCGGAACAAATTGGTAAAACTTTTTAGAAGAAGAGTTGCCAAAGTTGCTAGAAGATGTTGATTTAGAAACTAGACAAAAAACGATATTTCAACACGACGGAGCACCTGCATGTTGCTTCAGAGATGTTTTTCAAACCTTTTTAAATAGTGGATATGGAACACATTCAATTGGTCGTGGAGGTCCAATACCACGGCCAGCAAGATTACCTGATCTAACTCCTGATCTAATATTGCAACGACGAAAGAAGATATCAAAAATAGAATAAGGGAAAGCTCTAGAAATATCTCTGCTGAAACACTACATATTTTGTCTTTCTTCCCTGCTCAAATCTACAAGTAACGTTGGAAGACGTCATTTAAAAAATTTCAGTACTCCCCATTTAGCATACCATCAATAAAGTATGGACCGATCAATTTATCACCAATTATGCCACACCAAACATTAACCGACCAAGGTCGTTGATATTCTACTTCACGCAACCATCTCAGATTTTCAGCGCTCCAATAGTGCATGTTATGTCTATTGATTTGTCCTTTGTTTGTAAAAGTAGACTCATCCGAGAATAGCACGTTATCAAAGAAATTGACGTCCAACCGCATTCGTTCTTGTGCCCATTGACAAAATATTAATCGATTTTCAAAATTGCCTCCATAAAGCTGTTGATGCAATGAAATGTGGTGATACTTGTCGCGCTTTAATATTCTTAAAATGCTGGTCTTCTATATTCCGGCGTCAATTGCAAGTCGTCGAGTGCTAATTTGAGAATTTACCTCAACGCTAGCTAATACCGCAATTTCCTTTCCTTCCGTAGTTACAGTTGCTCGCTCAGTTCGTTTTCTTGATTCCACATTTCAAGTGTTAGTGAAATCAATCACAACTCTGTAAAACTTACTTCTCAAATGCGTATTTCGATAATTCTTAGAATACTATTTAAGAATGCTCAACAAAAAAAATCCAGAAGAGGTCTCGTGGGAAATACGTTTGGAAAGACATTTCTCCGCCTTTGTCAATTTGATAATAGAATAACGCATAAAAAACAGGAGTTCGTGGAACTGCTTATGTCAGCATTTTCAGAATATTGCTTTCAGAGACTTAATTGGTTGAATTGTTTTAAAATGTAAAACTAAATTTGCATAAAAACTGCTTGAAAACAAATTCTGAATTCATTCCATCGTTTTGCATTAAGGCAAAGTGTTTAAACTAAGTCAAAGACAATGTATCGAAGCGGGTAGGAAAATGTTTAAAAATTCATAAATCTTATTTGTTCTTACTAGATTATAAACGTTAGTTAATTGTTTCTGAAGAAGTTTCAATTTTTTTCAAAAAATGTTTTGCCGTTGTACTGGCAAAATCACACAGTAAATTTTTTTTAATTACTTTACTTTTATCCACAGATTCAGATTTTGTAATAAAATATATAGGGTGCCATTTAAAAAATAGGTCGTGACCTTCATATAACCTTGAAAATAAGGTCAAGGTCAAAAAATGTTATCGTCATATAGTTTCCCCCTTCGAACAACTTTTATTTGGTTCATTTTTATGTAAAATGAACCGTTTTCGAGATAATCGCTTGTCTCACGTTAAATGGACCCATTTTTATTCTGCTTTTCAAAAGAAATGAACCACCCCGTAGGAGTAGGCGAAGAACTTTGAAATTATGTAGATACAGTTAGTCTATGTAGACAAACAAATGATTGAATTTTGACGATCATCTGCCATAGCTGATAGAAATTATCTGTCTGTTAGGTCCTGAAATTGCGTGTTGTTGAATAGTATTTTTTGGAGTAGTTCGCCGTTTGTTTGTGATTGTTGTCATTGCATTAGTAAAGTTATTGTCTCAAAAATGCCACGAGTTCGAAGACGTGCAAATTTTCGCCATCTTAAGCCCTTCGAAAGAGGACGAATTGTCGGGATGCATGAAGCTGGTTTAAACTTTCGGGAAATTGGCAGACGCATGGGCCGACCTCACGCCACTATCAGAAGGATGGATTGGCAGGAAGAACTCTTAGAAACCCATCGTAGAGGCAGTGGACGTCCTAGAGTGACAGCAGCACGCGAAGATCGGCTGTTAAGGCGAAGTGCAATACAAGACCCAGTAGAACCAACGCGTGCTGTTGCAATCAATTGGATACGAGCAATTGGTCGCAGAGTGTCTATGAGTACGATTCATATCGTCCTTATTTTCGTCTTCCTATGACTTAACAACATAAAGATGCCAGACTGCAGTGGAGCCAAAACCGACAACATTGGGAACATGAATGGGAAACTATCGTCTTCAGCGACGAATCCCGATTTTGCTTATGGAATTCTGACGGACGTTTACGGATCAGACGACCTAGAAGTCAAAGGCAAAATTTACAGTTTGTTCAGCGTTGCCCCACGGCTCAAACTCATGGTGTAATGCTGTGGGGAACAACACGCTACGGTGGCAGGTCTCCTTTCAGGGCACCTTAAACACGCGCCGTTACATTGACGCCATTCTGGAGACCGTGTTAGTGCCTTTCCTCCAAGACCTTCCAGAGCCCGTCTTCCAACACGATAATGCGCATATTGCTCACGTAACGTTAGAGTTCCTAGCACAAAACAATGTTCTGCAATTGCCTTGGCAGGCAAGATCCCCGGACTTAAACCCTATTGAACATGTCTGGGATATGATAGACAGAAAATTGCGTCGATTAAACCATCCTCACAACACTTTAGAGGAATTACGTCAACAGCTACAGGTAGCCTGGAATGAACTGCCCCAAGAGGAAATCGACCATCTGATTTCCAGCATGCCACGAAGGGTTACTGAATGTATAAGAGTACGCGGAGATGCAACAGAT